GGGGAGGTACTGATGGTCCCGCTGAGGCACCCGCTGTGGCTGGTATCTGGAATGGGGCCTGAAAAGAACAAATTGGCAAATGCATCAGTTATGCTATGCGAAGCTGAGTATGGTATCAAATGCAATATATGATTATAGTGTGTGAATGTTGTAAGCAGTATATGAACGCCGTGAGCAGTGTATGTGTCAAGCCCCAAGCTCCGTGACAACGCCGCACACTCATTTAAGTGAGCATGTAAGGCTAAGAGTCCAACACATAACCAACAATGTAAAATACTCAAATTAAATCCTTAATTATCATGATGCTAAAATCCATAAAAAAAAAATGATATTTCTTATCATATGAAATTGTCCACCAAGTCCACTAATAAAATCCACTAACAAAACAATAATCCAAGTACTTAAATCATAGTCTTACTCTCGACACTCCCACAAGTAAAAATCCGGCGTATCTCTACTCCTTAGAATCGGGAAAAAAAAAATAAGGGTAAGCTAGAGAGCCTAGTGAATAACCAACCATCACTGCTAGCTGGATCAAGTATATAAAAAAAATAAAAATAAATAGTCGATAACCAATAAATATAATTTTCGCTACAAATCAATGTATCAACAATTATTTGTAAGGTGGTTTCATAACTAAAAATAAACAATGTACAATACATTTTAATTGAAAAGCCAACAAGATAATTCAAAGTAAATTCGTTGTTCAAATCGATGGTTCGATATTCAGATGGTTCAATGATTTGATTCACAAAACCCAAGTCTTGGTGACTATGGTCACTTAGCCCGTGACAAGGCCCAGAACCACACACAGGCCAGTGGTAAAGCCCCAAAAGAAACTAGTTTTTGTGCCAATAAATAACCCCCATTGGCTAGGGTCCAAATCATAGTCAGACTAGAGTGATGTTCAAAATTCAAATAATATACAAATTTTAAATAAAATATTTGATATTTTCAGAATAAACGTTTAGTACAATTTTCAGAATAGATCCACAAAATATTCAAATAATTTTCATAATAATATTTGATACTGTTTTATACTAGACCCATATTTTATTTTAAGAGAAAATGAAGGCTATACATAAATACTTATAATTTTAAACGATTCAATATGAATAAAAATGTACCAACAGTGATAGAGGGTTACTTACCTCAAACAGCTAAAATAATATTTCCCAAGCTAATATCAAATTACCAAGACCCACCTCAATCTCACAAACCGTCTCGATCACCTACACTTCTACAGTGGAGATCTAGAAGAGATATTGAGAAAGTGCGAATGATGGAAATATAGTGGCGGTGAGAGATGGATTTGTTTCTTCAAGGCACAAACAATGAAGATTTGGGTATTTATAAATCTGGACCATGTGAGATAGGAATGGTGGTTGATACCAGTGGAAAGTGGATGAGGTACGAATGCCTATGGATGACGAGTTATGAACGCCGGTGGATGGTAATTGAGGCACTAACGATAGAAAACCCTAGAAAGAAATAATTGTAAGAAATAAGTTTTCTTCTTTTACATAAAGGGTTATTAACCTAATTCCTTAAAATTACTAAATTACCCATACAAATTAATTTAACTACTACTTTATCCAAAAATAATTCTACATATAACTTGGGTTTTACATTCTTCCCTCCTTAAAAGAAATTTCATCCTCGAAATTTGACATACCTAGAGTCTCAAAAAGTTGTGGATACTTTCGTTTCGTTTCATTTCATCCTCGAGTTCCACGTTGCTTCTCTTTCTGAGTGATTGCTCCATTGAACCTTAACATACTGGATGACTCGATGCCTCAAAACCTGTTCTTTCCTATGAACAATTCGTATAAGGTGTTCCTCATAAGTCAAATCCTCCTTAAACTGCAACGGTGCATGATCAATCACATGACTAGGATCCGGTATATACTTCCTTAACATTGAGACATGAAAAACATTATGAACTCTAGCTAGTAAAGGTGGTAGAGCAAGTTTGTAAGCTACTCTCCAATTTGATCTAAAACCTCAAATGGTCCAACAAATCTAGGACTCAGTTTACCACGAACACCAAACCTCATTACTTCTTTCATAGGAGACACCTTAAGGAACACGTGGTCTCCAACTCCAAACACCAAATCGCGTCTCCTGTTATCTGCGAAGTCGCTCTCTAATAAGATTGATCTTGTCCACTGTTTGTTGCACAATCTCAGGCCCTAACAACTTCCTTTCGCCCACATCATCCCAATAAATAGGTGATCTACACTTCCGTCCATATAAAGCCTCATATGGTGCCATCTGAATGCTCGCATGATAACTATTATTATAAGAGAATTCCACTAAGGCCAAATGCTCATCCCAAGAACCTCCAAGATCAATAACACAAGCCCTCAACATGTCTTCAAGAGTCTGAATAGTTCTCTCTGACTGTCCATCAGTTTGAGGATGAAAGGCAGTGCTAAAATTCAAACTAGTACCCAAAGCTGTATGCAAACTTCTCCAAAACAAAGATACAAATCTGATATCTCTATCAGACACTATGGTCACCGGAATACCATGCAATTTCACAATCTCCTTGATATACAAATTTGCAAACTTCTCTAAGGAGAACCCTACCTTAAAAGCTAGAAAGTGAACAGATTTGGTCAATCGATCAACGATAACCCAAATAGCATTGTTACCACCTTGGGTCCTAGGCAACCCTGTCACAAAATCCATGGTAATATATTTCCACTTCCACTCGGGAATAGGAAGAGGTTGTAACTTACCTGCAGGTCTCTGATGTTCAACTTTCACTTGTTGACATACCAAACATTGAGCAACATACTGAGCAATTTCCCTGAACTGTGAGCTTCTCTAAGGATTTCTCTCTTGAGCTCCAAATCATTAGGCACACACAACCTCTCTCCAAATCTCAAGGTTCCATCTTTATGCATACAAAATTCCATCTGTAGCCCTATTTCCATTTCAGCCTTAAGTTTTTGCAACTGAGAGTCTCTTCCTTGAGCATCTTTAATTCTATCAATCAATGTGGGTTGAACCTTAAGGTTTGCCAACTGCACTCCATGGTTGTGCCATCTAATCTCAATATTCAACCTTTGTAAGTCCTCCAAGATATTCTTTTGGTTAGTGATCAAGGTAGCCAAATTACTCGGGGTCTTTCTACTCAAGGCATCCGCCACTATATTAGCTTTTCCTGGATGATAATTGATAGTCAACTCATAGTCCTTTAATAGCTCCAACCATCTCCTTTGCCTCATATTCAATTCTTTTTGAGTGAAAATATACTTCAAGCTTTTATGATCAGTGAATATCTCACATTTCACCCCATACAGGTAGTGCCTCCAGATTTTCAATGCAAACACCACGGCAGCCAACTCCAAATCATGCGTAGGATAATTTTGCTCATATGGCTTCAACTGCCTAGACGCGTATGCCACTACCTTATCATTTTGCATCAGGACACAACCCAAGCCCATCTTCGATGCATCACTATGGATGGTAAAACCTTCATCTCTGGACGGAACTATAAGTACTGGAGCACACACCAATCGACTCTTTAGATCCTGGAAACTCTTCTCACAATCATCAGACCACTCAAATTTAACCCCTTTTTGTGTTAAACGAGTTAAAGGCATAGAAATTCGGGAAAATCCCTCAACGAACCTTCTATAATATCCTGCTAAACCCAAGAAGCTACGAATTTCAGTGACACTAGTAGGCCGATTCCATTCCACCACCGCCTCCACTTTCTTGGGGTCAACAGACACCCCATCTTTAGATATCACATGACCCAAAAATGATACACTCTCCAGCCAAAATTCACACTTCTTTAATTTAGCAAATAATTTCTTCTCCCTTAATATCTGCAACACTATTCTCAGATGTTCTTCGTGCTGCTCTTTACTCTTCGAGTACACAAGAATGTCATCAATAAAAACTACCACAAACTGATCTAAGAAGGGTTTAAATACTCTGTTCATTAAATCCATAAAAGCTGCAGGCGCATTGGTCAACCCAAACGGCATCACTAAAAATTCATAATGCCCATACCTAGTTCGGAAGGCTGTCCTAGGTATATCTTCCGCCTTAACCTTCAATTGATGATATCCAGAACGAAGGTCAATCTTAAAAAAGACTTGTGCTCCTTGCAATTGATCAAATAGGTCGTTTATCCTAGACAAAGGATATTTATTTCGAATTGTCACCTTGTTTAATTCTCGATAATCAATGCAAAGGCGAAAACTACCATTCTTCTTTTTCATAAATAAAACGGGTGCAACCCAAGAAGAAACACTAGGCCTAATAAAGCCCTTATCTAGTAACTCTTGTAACTGTTCCTTCAACTCTTTCAACTCTGCTGGGGCCATCCGATACGGAGCCTTAGAGATAGGACCCGTGCCAGGTATCAATTCAATGGCAAACTCAATCTCTCTATCTAGTGGCAACCCCGGTAACTCTTCAGGAAAAACATCGAGAAATTCCTTCACAACTAGAATATCCTCTAACTTCAATTCAGTCTCACGAATATCTCTCACATAAGCTAAATAACCCTCGCAACCATTCCTCAACAATCGTCTAGCTTGCAAAGCTGAGATTACCAAAGGAGGAGTGTTAACTCCACTACCCACAAAACAAAATTCTAGTTGATCAGGAATCTGAAATACTACCATTTTGCCTCGACAATCAACAGAAGCATAATTGGTTGTCAACCAATCCATTCCAAGAATTATGTCAAAGTCCCACATATCTAAAACAGTCAAGTCTACAAGCAATCTCCTGCCATCTATACTAACCACATGAGATTTGCCAATGTCTCCTCATGTTCCATTGCAACCTATATGCATCAATAATAAAACCTCATCTTATTCTATTCTCAAGTCCCTATAACATGTAATTAAAATTAACATTTTTTTTTTGGGTAAGTAATTAAAATTAACATTATACTAAATTATAAGCGTTCCCAATCCTACATCTACCCAATCTCACTACTATTCTATACCAGCCTTTAAAATTATAACTTGGCTCTGATACCATTTGTAACGCCCCACTACTTGCTGGCCCAAATAACTTGTGGGTCGACCAACAATACCCAAAAGCTTAAGTCCAAGTTATTTAGTAGCAAGGTAGTGGTGCTTTATATGCCCAAGATCACCCATGCAAACTTCCGATATGGGACAGGGTGTTACAAGACTTTACACCACAAAGGGTTTTACACAATTATTAGGCTAAATGCTCTGATCAAAATAAATGATATCGTAGAAAATTATGAAAAATGAAATTTAAAGGAATAGTATTTGGCAATATGAAATTTGGTGGTGTTTTGGGAAGTTAGTAAAAAATTAATTTTTTGACTTTTTTGGTGGCTTTTTTGGCAAAAAGATGGGTTCTTTTAGGTAAAAAAGCTGGATTTTTTTGGCAAAAAAGCTGGTTTCTTTTGTCTAAAAAGTAAAAAAACTGGCTTTTTTTACCAATGTTGCCAAAATGGCCCTGGTTTAATTAATTTCTATGCATTGTACCATGCATTGTACTATTGTACAAGAAGAAAGTTTAATTAGAAATTTATAGTGTAAATAGAATAATTATTGTGTAAATAGAATAGTTCCAAATGTAATGTATGGGAATTGGTTTCTCTATAGTCCAGGCCTTTGAACCCGTTCTGGGTCCAATTGCGATGATTTAATTTATTTATTTTGTAGAATTGTGTGCGAAAATTATTCAGGAAACAATTATTGATTCAATGATTGTAATCATGATATTTTGACTATCAAATTAATTTAATTTTTTTTCTTCATAAATGATCGAAAGAGAGACCACGGCCCATATTGCACGTCTCTAATCCACTAAATTTAAAAAGTCAAATTCAGTTTTTAAGTTCTATGTTTTGTCGTGTTTTATGTTAACTTTTTTTTCCCTACTCTATATATATATATATTTTATTTTTTTAGATAAACTTAATCTAGATACATCTAAATAATTTTTTTTTTTATATAGAGAAATCTAAAAAAATTTAATAATACAAAAACATATAAATATGTATTGACTTAATATATATATATATATATATATTGCATCTAGTGAATGCAAATATTTTTACTTTTTAAGTATATTTAGATTAGGCGTATTTAAAAAATAAAAAATATATTAAAAAAGTTTACTAAAATACATCGATATATAGAACCAAAAAACTCAATTTATTTATTTGTTTGTAAATATTTGATAACTGAAAAAAACAGAGTGTGTGTGTTTGGGAAGTTGACAAAAATTTATTTTTTTGTTAATAAAAAATTTGATTTGACATTTAATTTTGAAAAAATTACTCATAAATCTCATTTGGAGAAAAGTTATTCCATTCAGTCTTTAGAAGTTTTCTTTTAAATCAATTAGTCATTTTTATTTTGGACATGTTGTATTTCTTGATTTGGGGTTTCGAAAGTTTACTTGTTTGCCATTGTATGTGATTTTGTTTGGATTTTGTTTTTTCTAATGTTGGGTGTGCGTGGGTAAGGTAAATTTTTACGTTTTAATTTTTTATTTTTTTTGTAGGGATTAAGTAGAGTGATTTGTAGCTCGATGATGTTACCTCGTTTGTAGTGTTATTGGTGTGGTGTTCGTGCTTATTGTAACATCGACATTAATTAACATCCAAACGTAACACTAATATAACACAAAAAAAAAAAATTTCTTGCTGTATTTTTTCCAAGCGTAACATTATAATATAACACTAAAAAAAAACTCCTTTAGTGTAATACTCTAAAGTAACACATAAAAAATTTCTTATTGTAACACTCTAATATAATACATAAAAAAACTCCTTAGCGTGTTTTTTTTTCTAAACGTAATACTCTAATATAACACACCAAAAAACTCTTTAATGTAACACTCTAATGTAACACATAAAAAAACTCTTTAATGTAACACTCTAATGTAATACACACAAAATCTCCTTAGTGTAACACTCTAATGTAACATATAAAAAAAATTTTGATGTACATTTTTCAAATGTAACACTTTAATATAATACTCTTAAAATTTTTTTTAATGTAATACTGTAATGTAACATATAAAAACTCTTTAGTGTAACATTCTAATGTAACACACAAAAATTTCTTAGTGTACTTTTTTTAAACGTAACATTTCAATAGAACACTCCAAAAAAAATTCTTAGTGTAACACTTTAATGTAGCACACAAAAAAAACTTTTTGGTGTATTTATCTTAAACGTAACACTCCAATATAACAAAAAAAAAAAATAGTTTACTTTTTCTAAACGTAACACTCCAATGTAACACTAAAAAAATAAAAATAAAAAAAAATGTGAGATTCTTCAAACCATTCCAAAAGGAGTACAAATTGAACAAATGTATAATTTTAAACTGTAAGTGTTACGTTTGAAAAAAATACACTAATAAACTTTTTTAGTATTTTTGTGCATTACATTAGAGTATTACGCTTGAGATTACATTGATTGAAGTGTTACATTTGAGATTACACTGATTGAAGTGTTATGCTTAGAAAAAGTACACTAAGGATTTTATTATTATTTTTTATTTTATACATTGGAGCGTTAAGTTTGGAAAAAGTATACCAAAGATTTTTTTTGAGTGTTACGTTGTTACGTTTGGAAAAAGTACATCAATGAGTTTTTTAGTGTGTTACATTGAAGTGTTACGTTATTGGAGTGTTATATTTTTTTGAACGGAAAGGGGAATATATTAAGAAGTAGGAGGAAAAACATCCAGGTGAGCCAAACAACTCAATTCCTTGGAGGGAATAGCTACCCAGTTAACAGGCAACTTTGACAATACACATGTGTGGGCAACCCTGTGTGCAACATGATTAGAGGTTCGCCTTGTCCAGCAAAAAAACATGGGCCAAACTTGGGAGATACATCTAATGTCAGAGAAGACTACCAAGCTATCCCAAGGAGGCACATTTTTAGAAACACAGAGTTTGATAGCTAGCAAATTGTCATTCTTAGCAATCACATTCCTCCAGTTTTGTAGTTAGGCCATGATGCAAGCCAACCGAATTGCTTGGGCCTCAGCTAGGAAGGCTGAATCAGTATGGATGTTAATAGTGTGGCCATCAATAATTTACCCTGTGGAGTCACGAAAGACTACGGCTAAGGAGGCTCTGTTGGACTGCTTGCAGAAGGCCGCATCACAGTTGGCTTTCAAAAAGCCAGGAGGAGGAGGTTGCCATCTGTTACGCCTGGTCTGTGGGATAGAAGAACTGTTTTGCTCAGACGAGACTCTCCGCAGAAACTGGACATGCTCTGTCTATGCATTGACAGCACGATCTAAAGTTTCCACTGGATTAACTGGGATATGATTAAAGATAAAATCATTCCTAGTTTTCCAAATTTGCCAAGCAGTTATGATTAACTGACTTAAAAAAAGGCTCCAGCTGGGTCGAGACTCTAAGAACTCCAACTGTTGACTTATCCAAATTGCTAGATGGCTGACCATACCCCTTT